ATGAAAATTGCGTCTGTCTGACCCGTTTTGTTAAGTGATGTGGCAATGTCATGGGTGAATTCTAGGAGCTGCGTTGTTGTAGAAAATCCAGCTTGGAAGCCATGCTGACACCGGGACAGAAGATTGTTTGCGTCCAAATACTCAACAATATGTTGATGAATGATATGTTCCAGTAGTTTACAGCTTGTTGAAATTAGGAAAATTGGCCTATAATTTGGAATGAGCTACTTATTGCCAGATTTAAGTAACGGGACAACATTAGCTGTCTTCCAAAGTATGGGAACAGTGGCCGACGCAAACAATTTATTAAAAATGACAGTCAAGTAACGAGCGCACCATTCGAAGTACCGCCTCAAGAACGTATTAGGAATGCCATCAGGACCAGAACTTTTAGTCACATCTAATTTTAGTATCAAATTGTTTACACCTGAATAAGAGATTGTGATGTCTGGAATTGTAGACTGAACAAAGTTGCATGCATAATCTGGGATAGTGCCATCATCACTAAAGAAAACGGACTTGAAATAGTTGTTGAAGCTTTCTTCAATAGTGTTAGAATCGGAGCGTGATTGTTCATTTATAAGGAAGCAAGACTGAACAAATGACTTCGGGTTAATAGACTTCCAGAATTCGGTCGGGTTTTCTACCATAAACCGTGACAATGTATTGTTGAAATAGAAATTTTTCGCTTCCTGCATTTTCGCCTTCAAAGTACACTTTAAAGAATTAAGCAGTGGTGATCGCGCAGCTGACAAAAGAGGACGACCTTTGCGAAGTCGCTTTACGCGGCGAGTTAGTTGAATTATTTCCCGTGTGTACCACGGATGTTTTGGATTGCGTTTAATGCACTTTTGAGGCACAAACTTTGATATGCACTTCTGTACAACACCATGAAAATGACCAAGGAGTACATTTACATCACTGTGTTCACTGCTAGGAAAAAATCTTCAAAACTAGATGACAGCGTATCGATAATAGAGTTGTCATTGGCACGACTAAAATCAAGCACACGCTTAAATTCAGGTCGTTTTGGCGGGCACACTATGTTGCGCACACAATCTTTTATATGATAAGTAAATGGATTGTTTCTGCTTAAATGTATAGTAAAAAGTAGTGAAAATAGAAGATACGCTAGTGTGTATTGCATAGAATATTTCTCAAGTTTGAAAAAGAAAAAAAACGACATAACGTGTATTCGCGAGAAATTTGAAATGTCAAAAGCGCGCGAAATTTGGAACGTTTGCTTGCTTGTGTATTTCTTATACCGATACCTTGTTAACAAATGTACTTTGCTTGAGTGGTTAAGCTGGCTGTTAAAAACAGTGTTAAAACGGTTGTATATTAGTACAAATTACAGGCAGCAAGCAAAATTTGTCCAACAAAATAAGCGTACTGGTTGGCAAACAATATTTTAGCTGTTTTCAGTGAATTTTCTTTGGGAAAAGGTTTTAGTCAAGGCTCAATTGAACTTGCTTTGAAGAATACTTCTATGAACAAATTCAAAAAAACGTTTCTTTAAAGCTATAATAATAGAACGTCAAAGTCTATAGCCCGCCACAAAAATTGGTAATGCCTGTCAATTGATACATTGTAAGGTTAACAAATATTTGTACAACACAAAAACTATTTTCTCTACCATGGTCTTGTTGGTTTGTATTTATTTGCATTAACAAATGTATGATGTATATATACTGTCGTGGACAAGGCTTTGTTTGCAATCTTAGGCGCGAACTAGGTGGAGAGCTCTATATGTGTAAGTCACAACCCTGTTGTAGCTCTTCAAGCTGCGTACTCCGCCATAGGCTAGTGAGCTTGTAGCGCATAGCTTGGTCAGCGCTGGCCGTGAGGCGACGAGAAGAAGGCAGCAAGAATGCAAGAACTGGTGCAGAACTTACGTTCAGCCGGGCACTATCGCTATTCAGATATCCGTTACTTCAGTGGTGCTATTAATGAGACCATAGTGTCTAACCAGGAGACCTCTAAAAGCAGGTAATGCTCTATGACCACGTTACTCACAAAGTTTTGTCGGCGACTGTGTACCTTAAGGGGTGCTCATCAGCACCAATTAGTTGTTGCACCCTTTTTGCACCCTAGTTTCTACCCTCCTGATGTGTTCACCTTTTAGGTTCCGCTTGTAGGGTGCTGAGACGTGAATAGCCTGCTCAAAGGGTGTGCTTAGGGTGTCGGCACCCTTTTTGAAACCCCTATGGGTCAGAATTGGTTTAGTGTGCACGCTCAACGATTCATCGGTCTGCGTAGTTTGATTGGTGACGACATGATACATAAATGTTCATTGCCAACTTTGGCGGCATGAAAGTGGTGACGTCAACACTTTGGTTGACAATGTTGCAAATCAGATTAAAGAGGCATGTTAGGCTGAAGGCGTTGCTTTAGCTCACTGGCTAACACACTCCGCTATTGAGGTAGGAATGGTAGGATGAAACTTGCGACGGCCAGTATCTTTCCGGTCGAGTTAGTTGTTTTGGTACATTGATGTTATTCTGTAACCACATTCTAGACAAAGTTAAAGCGATAGTGAGAGTTCGTATGAAGTGAAAACGCACGGCCTTGCGAAAGTGGATAAAGGTAACGTTGAGCACCGGTGATGACCTTGCACCTCATGCAGCATCTGATGCGCCACAAACTTTTTCCTTTTTCCACAACGTGTCAAGTGCACACTTGACACGTTGCCATGCTAAGTAGAAATTCAGGCACCGATTTGGGGAGAAAGACGCCGGATTCTTTGCTCAAGTAGCCATTTGAAGCTTCAGATATGTCCAATGCAATGGCTGGTGCGTGCGTCATGTTGTTCGGCTGTCGGCAAAGCTTATCAGTCATTTCATTTGAGTCCGCACAAACATGACTAGTTTTCAAATAGTTACATGTCTTTTATCACCGTGGTTTTAGATGCAACGCAACGTTTTGACTACCCTGTGTAACACTGTCCCTCCGTCCGCACCGCTGCCCTCGTCGCAGGTGTTGGAGCGGTGCACGGCACGGTGACGTCTCTCTGCCTCGCTTACCACGCGCTCGCCGCGTGTCCGCTCTTTTTCGCTCCACGCTCTCCACTAATCGCAACGACGAGCCCATTGATCTTGTGGACATGACCCCAACCGCGCCACCCCTCTTCATCTGTTGGCAAGAGAATACAAGAGATGGTGGGTGTGCGCGCAGCGTCGACCGAAGTAGAGAAGACGCTGCTGCTTGCCGCGTAATCGCACCGACGGGAGGGACGCTGTGACGACTTGCTTCACCCTAGTGCATGCGTACCTTTCCCAGCTGTCGCCGACGTTGCGAGGCGAAGCCGATCGCGTTTGCGAATGGCGACGTCAACACCGACGAAATGCAAGCCAGGGAGCCGAATGCAAGCGCCAGCAGTGAAGGACCAGTGACACCAACATGGTGCGAATCAACAACACCGATCGCGTTCGAGAACGCAGACGGCGCACGGGTAACACCGACTAGACGTGAGCCAAGGAAGCCTTATGCAAGCGTCTTCAACGACTCACACCTCGCGTGTTCTTGCGTTTTAAACAAACGTTCACTTGAGTGAACGCTACATCGATTTTTTCTTCAAACCGTTTTTCCAGCACCCGCGTCGACGCCTGTTTCAACCGGGTCTACGCCGTGCGCACCACTGCTGCTTCGCATCTCATTATGGTTTCCTTCGGAGAGATGGTTCATACTTTTTATTTAATTCATGATCACTGAAACATAGGCTAAGCATTACCTGTAAAGGTTTCTGTCTTCACGTTTTCTCATTTAACTGGTGTAGCATTTTAAATGACAGTGTGCCTCTGTATGTTTGAAAATGTTAACAGGAGTTTGCATTAGAAATAGAGCGCACGCTCTCGTGTTCCGAGAAACACCTCGTCATCGTTCAAGTCACCACTACGTAATGTATTCTAGAATGTAATTCTGGAATAAGCATTCCATAACGGCAGCCTTTGAGACATAGCGTGTGTTCCACACTTATTGAATTAGGTGTAATGCTTCAGTCACACTTTACTCAATGACAACTGTGACAACCCGTATATCGTATTCGTTTCTCTTATTTAAATGACAAGACATCAGAAGGCGTATTGTGAAGCGTGTTACTCTCGTATCACTGTAGGTAACAAAACATTCAGCAATGTGAGTTTCACGATATTTCTCACTTAGCATCTAATCAGAGACTCGCCTCTAAAATATAATCTGTGTTGGAGACGTTGATGTAGGATCGCACAAAATACGCATTCACGCTCACAAAAATTACGATAAAACACAATAGTAATTGTTGTATTGAACGTCAATGAGAACCAACAGAGAATAAAGCCAAGAAAAGTACAGGGGTCATCATTTGTTTAAGTTATTGTAGAGACATTCATGCTCATAAAAAGTATGAGAAAACACAATAGTAATTGTTGGAACCAACGTCAATGAGGACCAACAGAGAATAAAGCAAAGGAAAGTATAGGGGTTAGTATTTGTTTAAAATATTGTACAGATATGAATTAGATTAAAGTGGATTAAGATAAAAGTGGCCGCCGGTATACACCAAACCTTCAACCTTCGAAATACGCGTCCGATGATCTACCACATAGTAAATGTGCGGTGGTGGTCGTCCTTGCGCGAAGGCTATATGGTTTATCTGTAGACCTAAACTTCGAACAGTTCGTCAGCGCTGCTTGTAGCTAAGGCGGTGAGTATGCAACTCTGTTCTTTTGCTGAAGCGCGTCACGTAGCACTTCTTTTTTAAAGAGCTGGAAGCTAACCAACAATCATTCGCCTACAAGTGGTAAAGTAAAAAACGGTAAAAAACCTTGGATTAACAGGCAATGCAAAAGCTACCTGTGGCCATTTGGGAAAAAAAGTTTCCGCAGAGTCATGCTTCTCACTTCGACACGAAACACGCACTAGAAAAAAAATTCACTTAGTGAGACAGAGAATCCATCAAAAAAGGTGCCGTCACACTGTAGAAAATAGCGGCGTCCACTGAGCATCCGACTGTAATTTTGCAGGGGGAACCGGGTCCTCCGGGACCACCCGGACCACCTGGGTTGAGCCATTGGTCTGACACTTCTAACACGATCAACACGAGAGGTAAGAAAACTGTAAAAAAAGAGAGTCAAAAGAACATTCTGATGCGCTAATTCTCTTTCAGTACTCACGTGATCCCTTTTGGAAGGTAACCCCAGGAAACGAGAGTTGCCATTTAGAAGGGAGTTGTAGAACTGTCGTGAAGCGCGATTCGATGTGAAGGCGCTGCCGTACACGCTCTACATAATACGCGTTTGCCTTTTGGCGCCGTCTTGGTGTGCTCCTGACTCCCCCCTGCCAGAGTTACCCGGGCAACGGCTGGGGTAGCCAGGGGAGGGTGCCGCCGTGTCAACCAGTGTGGCCTAGTTCTGACCATGGTGCAAGAATAATTTAGGTGAGCGAACGCCGGCAGAATCCGCTGCCCGATAATGTTCTGCTTCGCCAGGAGCTTGGGAGATGGCGCTCCAAATTCTGCCCCGGCTTCCCCTTCCCCTTCTCGGTGTAGGAAAGCCCCGGCATGTTAGAAGGTACTGGTGTTCATTTATCGTCGCAACAACACCCTCGCTGCATCGTCAACGTCCTCCCTTAACAGCCTGTTTTTCGCGGCGCCGCTCTATGCGTGTCGCGTGTTTGATATCGCACGATTACCAGGTTTTGTCGGATTTGGAAACCGTTGCTCACGTGCCGAATATGCTTTGCGAAATTCACCAACAGCCCGCCACGATCCTCAGTCCGGCGAGCCATCTATCGGCACTCCGCAATCGAGAACGTAATCGGTCCCTCCCCGCCAAGCGCTCGCTTCGCGTGGTTCACTAACCTATAGTATTTTGGCACCGTGGTTCGGACACAGCAGCGTCGCAACCGCCAATGCTCCATGCAGTGCTTGCTCCTCCTCTCTCTCTTTCTGATCCGTCCTTCGAGTGAGACGTGGGTCGCGGGTATTGGTAGCTCAGAATTCGAGCGAGCATGCGCATTTTCGATGGTGGTCACGCATGGCTCCGTGCTCGAAGTGACTGATTGTGGGCATCGTCAATCGTGGCCTTTCATAGCATATGGGTTATAGCTTCACTGGTGCCCGTGACGTAGGATATCGATATGCAGCGTTGTTGCGGCGCCACTCACTGCCTATTTTCTACGTGTCTTCTCTAACCGATCACCCTGTGCATTATTATTTTTCTGTGATTGTTGGTGCTGAAGTCACTGATTGCGTTTTTCCTGGCGTCCTTCCACAGCTGTGAATTCGACCAGAATATTGCGGCTCTGTCAAAGAAACGCTCGAACACTATTCAAACTCTCATGTTTTACACGTTGAATGCGTAGCCTGAAGTACATGTGGATTGATACAGGAAGAACGGCAGCAATAGCAGCACGCAGTGCGAAATATTTCAATTTTAAAAAATTTTAATTAAAAAAAACAACCAACCTTCATTATAAGTTCCATGGGCTCACCTGACAGTTAACTCGCCCTAACCAGGTAACGTGGTGAGGATTTCTTCAATGTGATGAGGTGGAAGCTCGTAAATAGAGGATGTTTGCACGCCATTGTTGCTCGTCGTTTCCAACGTATTTATTCAATTATACATGTACCTACAATACTCTCTACGGGCATTGTTGTAATGGGATATACAAATGAAAAGTACACTCTTTTGATTGAAAATAAATTGCATGGCGCGAAACAAACTAACAACAAATCAAAAATAGATAAATCACAGCATTCATTATATGCACAAAACAACATGGGCTGCACATTTCCCCTGGGTAAACAAAAAGAACAACATGAACAGTAGAAAGAAAGAAAGTGACATTATGTGACAATATACGTCTTTTAGAAGTGAAGGGAATGCTGTGTCAGGGGCGGTGTTACGTTTGGCCCGGCAATTCGTCTGGGCCGACGCCATCATGCGTAAGCCGGTCTGCTATGGATGCTTCAACCCCATCGGCGCCTAGTCTGCAAGACGCTGTCCTGCAGATGTTCCAGGAAGCAGTCTGATCTCAACGTAAGCATCGCCAGACAAGCCTTTTGTGGAACGGGCTCGAACAGCGGGGCGATGGTGCAACTGTAGCGGTTCTCATTAAGTCAACCTCTCGACTCTGCTATTGTCTTCTATGCGAAGCCATCGCAAAGCACCATCAGTCCAGAGGCGTGGGAAGACGTCGAAGGAGCCGTTCTGAGGGATCGAGCATTTGGACTGCCTGAAGCTGAAAGCAGCATGGACCCCTGCTGACGTTCAGGTTCGCGGCCTTCTTCCCGGAGGAGCTCAACCTCAGTTACTCTCCGGACTCTACCTCATCACCCTGCAGCGACTTCAAGGCGGGGGCCGGGTGCATCATTGTGTGGTGCGCTAGTGCTCCGATTGGACCATTGAGACTTCGTCACCTGATTTGTGACGAGAGTGCTCACAGCCTTCCTCGGATCTCGAAGTAAAGGAGACTGCGGGCTATAAAAACCGAAGCATTTTGCAAATCATTGCGAAATCATGAACTGAATCTCTTCTGTACCTATTGCGGGATCTTCTGGATCCCTGTACAGTTTCTATCTTTCTTCTATAATGTAAATAATTCTTCGTTCTACATCTCTTAACGCGTCCCCTCACTGGCGAAGATTGGCTTTGTGGACGATGGCGGGAATGAGCTACCTTAAAGAAGCCCGCCAATACTGCCGTCGACCACGAGCCCTTTACAACTGGTCGGCAGCGGCGAAATGAACCTCTCGACATGGCGCTGCGTTGAGGTGAGTGCTTGGTCCTTGCTCTAACTTTCCGGGCTTCATTTTGTGAGTTTAGTATAATCATAAAGGTATACACACTGCTAAAAGACGAACTTTTGTATTTATTTAATGACCTAGATATTGAGGTTGAGGAAAAAACTGGCAGGTAACAAATTGTGAAGCTAATTTTGCAAAACGCCAGTGAGAAAGCGATTTGATACGCGTTACAAGCTTTCTAAAGGTTGGCAGAACGAAAACAGAAAATAGAGGAAAGGGAAAGAGAGGAACGAGAAAAACAAAAAGAATTTAAGTTGCGTAATATCGCTCCTGAGAATGAAGGCAAACGTATGGCTCAATCGAGTAAAAGGGCTCCAGAACAAGCAAGCGAGATTGAATCTTACCGCGTGGATAAATTCCCCAAGCCATTTCAAGTTAGGGAGGACATAGGGGTATTTCTCGCATATTTTGAACAGACCTGTGTGAGGTCGAACTTTGCTCCGCGCTCATGGCCACATCGGTTGCTTTCTTTGCTGCCATATGAAGCCGTTGAAGTGATCACGAGACTCAGTGCGAAAGAAGCAGATGATTATGAGAAGGTTAAAGCCGCCTTATTGAAGAAGAACCACCTTTCAGCTGAGGCATTTTGCAAGAGGTTTCAAAACCCAGAAAAGAAGGATACAGAGGGATATTACTCTCGTAGCTTCCACGCTTTTTAACCACTCGATTAGGTTTCTTCTCATACCGTAAGCAAAGACGAGGTAAACGAAACCACTTGTCTAAAGCAGTTTTAAAGAAGCATACTTGAGAACGTGAGGCTGTGGGTGCAAAACAGAGGTAATGTAAACACTGTGGAAAAGGCGGCCGAGTAGCCGATGAATACACAATGCGTAGAAAACTGAGCATAGAGTACAGAAGGCCGGACGGACGAAAGGGGCCGCAAAAAAAGTTTGCATTCAGGAAAGACTAGCAGGCGAAATAATTGAGCAATACTGAGGTGAAAACAAGTACGCCAAAAACAATGGGGAAAACTCGAACAGTGGGACACCCCAGCAGTCTCAAAGAAAAGAGTTCGATGCTTTTAAACTTGTTAGTTGCTATAATTGTCACAAGACTGGCCATATCGCAGTAAACTGCAGAAAGCCTAAGGTAGTTTTATCCTATATGGATGAAAGTGGTGAGAACTTGGAGCTTTTACGCTCAAATGTCCATGACCTGAAGGTTAACGGAAAACCCTGTAAGGTACTCAGAGACAGCGGCGCCACCATGGATATTTTCCACCCATCTTACAATACTGTAGATGACTTCACTGGAAAAGTGGCATAGATTAAAAAGGTTGTGGAGGAAAACAGCGTCGGTCTTCTATGGCGAAAGTAACGATCACTGGGCCGTTCAGAAAGCTTGTGACAGAGGCAGCTGTATCAACAACACTGTTATTGCAGTACCCGTAATTATTTTCAAACCGTTCACAAAGGATACTGCGCGAGCGAGGTCAGAAAATTGGAGAAATGAAGTTAGAGCGCTGACTCGTTCCAAAGCACGTGAACTCGCATCTAGGGCATCAAAAAAATCAATCCCAAAGGGAACAGACACGGGCCTAGGTCACCGCTCAGGGGCGCAGAGAGAGTCGGTAACTAATCAGGAAAATGAAGTTTCACCAACAAACCCACATCATAACCTAGATGGAAAGCCAGCTGATCGGCAACGTGAGACTTTATCGGCAGAGTTAGGTGGGGTCTTAGAAGGAGAGCCAGGCGACGCACCTACAAGCGAAACGGGGTCAGTATTGTTGCCAGCGTCGAAAAACTTAACCTGCACTAGGCGGTCAAAGTTTTTCGACGCCGGCAACAGACAATCGCTGGCCGCTGAGCAAGACAGAGATCATAGCTTAGCTAAACTGCAGTTTAGAGCTAAAGAAGGGATCGCTAAGGATAACGTGACATTGCACAAGAAAGGAGGCTTGTTATATTGGCACTACCGAGATAAGAGAGGAAGGGTTCTATATCAGTTTGACGTTCCTAGAAAATACCGAGACGATTTCTTTAACCTCTGCCACGGAAATGGCTGGTCTGGTCACCTAGGAATAAACAAAACAAAAGAGAGATTGCTAATGAAATACTATTGGTCAGGGTGCTTCAAAGATGTAGAGAAATTCGTAAGGTCATGTGACACGTGCCAACACACGAGTAAGCCTGAGGAAAAGTGGAAAGATCCGCTAAAATTGGTACCTAAAATATCAAAACCATTGTGATGTATGGGGATCGACACGGTGTGTCCAATGCCGGCAACTGAGTCTGGTTATAGGTATCTGTTCACCATATTGTGCCCTGCAATGACGTTTCCAGAAGCAATCCCTCTG